AAACTCAAGAATTTTTTTGTTTTACAAATGTCTGCATTCTAAACCACTGTGCAGTTAAATACCAATTAGTGTTATTAATTATTAAAGAACAGACATTCCTTGTAAATATACTTTGTGACTTGAAAGTGCTCTTTATTGTTAATTAACTTGCATCCCTTTCTGCCCTATCTGTCTCTGCAGCTTTATGAGCTAGGGGCCAAGGGGGTGGAGTACGAGCCTGATGGAGAACTACTTGCCGAGAGTGATGACATCACCTTCGAGTGTGGGGCCAGGTATACCCCCGTCCCCTTGCTTTGTGAGACAAACCAGTAGGACCCAAGCCTTAACTCTCGTGGCACAATATCAACTGCTAACCTTTCCCGGATTCTTCCAAATCCACCTGAAAGTGTTTGGAGGATCTGAGGGAAGTTAAAGAGTCTTGATTCCACACGCAAGATAGGATTACAAAGAGTGTGAGATTGGATTCCTACATCGAGGTTGCTATCAAAGGAGTTACAAAAACAGTCCTGGTAAAAAATGATGTAGGAATCAGAACGGCAGTGAGGGTGCTTCTCGACAGTATTTGAGCCAGGAATGAAGAAGAGCTGGGATGTAGATGGAAAAAGGCGTTCAGAATGTCGTGTAGCTGTAGACGGAATAACAAATTGACTTTGAAGTAAATCTCTGCAGGTTGTTTTGTTGGTCTAAATCCTCGTAATTCAGTAAAAAAAAAAATACTGTGGTAAAAGTCGCTGGAAAACAACATTGTCACTTGTTTCTTTATCGTGCAACTTGGAACTTTTCCTGACTTTGCAGGGAGAAGTTTCCAATCCTGTTTGATGAGCCAGTCCCTCTGACCACAGGATGTTGGTATGTTGCCTGGGCCAGGGTCAACGGCCCCAGCAGTGACTGTGGGTCCGGTGGCCAGACGTCCATCACCACAGATGACCAGTAAGTGCGGTCCACCCTGGACAAAGACAAACAGCATGTCCAACCTAGTGGTGGGACTTGAATCCTTTTTTGTAATCTTAACTAACTGGGTTTGTTTTTTAACCCAAATATCTGAAAAAAGTAGGAAGTTTCTGCTTTTAAAGAAAAAGTTACTTTAGCTCAATCCAGTCTTAAACTCACTGCAGGAAAAGCTGTCCTGTTGATTGAATTTATACTATCAGAAGTTCTAAAT